TACTTGTGCTTAGGATTTCCCTAAAGAGACTATGCATTAACCCAGTGCACAGAGCATTTTCCAGGGAGTAGCTGCTAGCTCCAACTATTCCTTGAAAATGGTCTTGAAGACCAAGGACATGGATATTACAGGCCTCATGATGGATGGTTTAGATTCTGTGACTATGTCCCAGGCTGATGACCAAATCTCAGTTCATCCATGTTACTACTGAACGAGTCCTTCCAAACCAAGTGGGACAGCTGCCGGCTGAACAGCTGGCTCTGAGACCTGCTCAGGCTGTCCAGTCTCACCTGCGTGTGCTCTATGAAGAAATCAGCATCACTCTTGTCCGGGGAGTGCCCAGGGGCTCCACTCAGTCCATCTATAAGCAGCTGAAGAAAGGAGAAGGAAAAAAGAAGATACCCTACAAGGCTCAGCATCCAGCGCTACACATCTAATGGTACAGAGCTGCTCAGACTTACATCAGTGCCGTACTTGGCCATGGCAGCACTTGCCAGCTGCCGGATCTTCTCCCTGTACATCTGGGCAGCCCGACTATTATACTTCGCGTTGGCATCCGTGGTAGTGCAGCCATGCTGGCGGAAGAAAGCAGTCTGGAAAGAGCAGAATGTTCAGTCTCCTGACTGCTAGATCATACTCCAGCAAGCATTAGACATAACTGGAGAAAAAGGAAGCTTCCCAGAGACAGGGGATGTAATGCTGAGCACACAACATGATCCAGCTATTCTCAATCAGCTTTCTCCAAGAATTCTCACTCCAGGCGCCAGAGGGCTAAGGGAACCATCCTGGCCCTCCACAGGAGGATGCTTCTGAGTTGCAATGCTGAGCACAAGCTTTCACACCGATCGACGTTACTAACTCCTTTAAAAGGAGTCTATCTCTTATTTAAGTGACATGTGAGGACAGGACAAACCTGCACATCAGAAAGCAATGCATTTAAAGACTGCGGTCTGACTTCCCAGCACACCTCCAAACACCCCCTCGCATTACACATGTCCAAAAAAGACAGAGAGGCTGGTACCCTGAAAGCCACACAGAGGAAAGGGACAAGAAACAAGATGTGGATTAGCAAAAGGCAAAGCAAGCAAAATGCCTACAGAGGCTCCTCACCGCGTTGGCATTGCTGCCCACTTGCATACACCTCAGCTGGAACCAGTTCCAGTTCGAATCCAACTCGGTGGACCTGCGAGAACAAGTTACCTGTATTAATAACATGCAGGCATGCCAAACGGCAAAGCAAGGGCTGAGCCACAACAGTCAGATATCCCGCTACTATCCCAGAGTACAAGAGGCAAAAGGGGGAAAGAACATCTTGGTAACTTCTTTGGTCCCCTAAGAAATTAACCTGAACTTCTAAAGTGAGGAAAACACCCCAGTTTCAGCTTCACCCCAAACAACAGTGTCCAAACTTAGAGGGCCTCTCACTTGTACTGCTTAAGAGGGCGGAGCTTGAGCTTGAGGAAGACAGAGCCAGCAGCTTTCAGTCTACATGTGACCTCACCACAACAGGAGAGACTCACACTCAGACCATCCCACAGATTAGGCCAGAACTCATGACAAAGCAACAGCAAACACCCAAGTAAAGCTGGGTGACAGAGCGTGTCTTATACCAGCTACCCAACTCACCTCTGAGTAAGTACAGGTCACAGTTCTGTTACTTACAACGCTAACTTTTACAAGTACCGGAAGTAGGAACAAACCAGTTGAAAATCTCACACCATCTTCCCCACTGGGCTGACGAGGAAAAGATTAAATAACATTCCCCTGCACAAGAAAGGCTTCCACACTGCTGCTTCGCTGGCGAGATTCACACACCACGCTCTCAGCTGCTGCGAGCGGGAGCCCAGAGAGCGTTTCCGCAAGGTTAGTGACAGTAACACGATATTCCACCGAGATGCCTTGGCAACTCCCATCTTGGAAAGGCTGAGTGACCTAAAACCTCCCGCCAGCAAGCCACATGAAACCCACGCCAGTCACCCGGTGACAAGGCTTCTCCCTCACCGCGTCCCTGCCTGTGCCAACCCCAGCGAGGCACAGCTGCTCCGGGCCCGCCCGGCCGCCCCGCACGCTGCCGGCCCCACGCACCTGATGAAGCTGAGGTGCACGCCCAGGGACCTGTGGACGCCGGAGCAGTCGATGCACAGGAAGACCCCGTAGGTGATGCTGGCCCAGCTCGGGTTCTTGGCACCGCAGTCGAAGCACGACTAAAGCCAAAGCAGAGGGACGACCGGGCTGAGGCGGCGATTCTGCCGCTCCTCCATCTC